TAGAGGGATGTAGCTTGATTTACTGTGTCTGTGTGTTTGTGGAGACACACTCAGCTTACTAGCACATGTAAGGGTGACTGCATAGCACTCTGCTTGACAAAGGAGGCACTCTAAAACAGGAAGTCATGACCAGTGCTCAGGAGACCAGCTGATTCTGCAGGAAACTAAAACTTTTAAACGTCAAGAAGCATCATCCATTGTAAGTAATTTCACCAGCATTTGAAATAGCTTAAAATCCTTTTGACTTTAATATCACTTTAAGCCTTAAGTTTTTTTGCCCCAATTCTCTCAGTGATGAGCATTAGGGCAACTATGGAAAAAAAACGTTTTTTAAGAAGGGCTGTAAAAAAATAATATATACATTTTTTTAAAAGATAAAAAATAGCGGAAAGCATCAAAGAACTCAGACAGCAGTTTTGTTTTTTGCATAGATCGGTTTTATGGAGAAGTAATATTTCACAGTCTGCAACCTGTCCATAAAACAGTTAATAGTTGCACTCTATTACAGCAAAATTAATTCAACTTTATACAGAAGAAGTGCTCTTTGTGTGGTCAAGTCTCTTCTCTTGGGATTCACATTCCTGTGGGATATACGTTATCATGGTTTTATCAACAGGCAATGAGGTCATTTCCTTTTCAACAGTGTCCACCAAGACCATACTTTTGTGGTCACAGATCTCCCTCACTTTGTAATTATTTGGAAGAACTGGGATATCTGGGATGTTATGCGTGTCGTATAAATGATAAATAGTCAGGAGAGAACTTGTCAGATTGAAGTTTTCTGCTTGGTAGGATCCCACAGTCTGTCTCTATTTTGCTAGTGTGAGTTACATGTGGAAGATCCTAAACACTCCACATTACCGGACTCTGGTATAATTTATTACCCTTCAGGGAATAAAAAAAAAATCTCCATAAGGACCCAACGGCTTTACAGGTAGTGAGAAACTACCCAACAATGGCAGATCTAAAGCAAGATCCTTTTAATACATTTTTTGATAAGAATCTAAAAATTCTTTTATGTTTGCCTCTTTCTTATTACCTTCTGTATCACTTGCTCCTCCTTGTAGAATGTAAACTCTCATGAGCTGGGTGCTTCTAATCCATTTGTATGGTTTTGGATTGTAATTGTTCGGTCTCCCCATATGTTGTAAAGCGATATGCAAACTGTTGGCACTATATAAATCTAGTATTATTTTATTATTAATAATAATAATAATATGAAAACAGATATAAGCAAAATAAAAGCACCCTTTTTGGCTTGCTAAGGGTTAACACCATGGCCAGACGTGGGTGTTTCAGTCACAAGAGAGCTTTCCCCATTAGCGATTTTACGCTTGTCAGATGAGAGGAACTGCATGTCTGACAGGATCAAGAATCCTATCAGCGCTGGGATGGTGTAGCAATCATGGTGGAATTCTTATGAAGTGATTATTAGATGGTTTCAGTAAAATATGTTATGCTGTTTTTGTAATTTGAAAGACATGGCTGTTGACACATTTTCCACACCTGTTAATCACAATGATGCATCGTGAAACCAATCCCAGGGGGAGAGAAGGAGAAGCTTAAAATGGCACTGCAGTGAATCACAGAGGGGTCAGAAGTAACTTGATTTGGGGTGAAACCTGTTCATTTTCAGTTTATATTTTTCTATGAGCACGTCAGCAAATGCAGTATGTGTAAAAAAGCCAAATAAAAAGACTTTGGTTTCTGGTTGTATTTTTATACTGTAAAATCTTTATATGCTAGGCATTATTGGTACTTACCGCTATATCAAATCACGTTAAAGAATTGGTGAACATTTAACACACATCTCTCTCAAGTTTGCAAATATAACTATTCATTATAACTATTTAACTATAATATTCATGTTTTCCTTTCTCTTGCTGTCAACTCAGAACTCTACTGTAATCTTATACGGTTTTCCAGTTCAACTATTTTTGTTTAATGGCCTGTTTTCCATATGTTTTCCAGGCGATAAAGTCATCTGTGGGCATCTTAATGTTTGGTTATATCAAAATAAGCATCTTCAGCATCCTTATGAATGCAGAGGCTTATGACACTCTTCTGCAGCGATAATACAAGACAACTAGAGGGATTCAGACTTGGCCTCTTTCACATATCAGTGGGACTTTGGGCTGTGTACCTTTCTGTTCTGTTTTCATCATTCTAGAACCTTTTTCTTTCAGATGCCAGCAGCTTCTGTTTAAATGGAATATGTGGACTAACCCCAGTGTGATGGTTGTGTTTAAGAGTGCATTGAATGCCACAAATGCCTAAAGGAAGCCAATGCACGCCTGCTAGTCTGACCACTCTCAAATATTTATAGCAGTCTTAAAGTGAACATGTGCTTTGTTCATGCAGGGCAAAGTAACAGGGTCACTTATAGGGGGTGATTTACTAACCTAAACACACACACACACACACCGGGTGTGTGTGATTTTCAGACAGCAAAACGTATTTATCAACCAAAAAGTCTCTAAAAGCATATTTCCACTAATGCCATATATGGAAAAATCATGCACATGATGCATATATAATGCTGCTTCACAGTTTAGACAAAAATGGTTAGCTCATGCATTTACATTCCTTGCATTCATCAACGCAAGCAACACAACATAGAGCTAATTTACCCAACATCACCTTGGAATTCCTTCAGGGCTTTGCACACCACACCTGCTGGGTGTGTACACATTACAAAGGTGTTTAGATTCCACCCATAGATCATGCTGGGAGGGAACACACTGCAGAGGTGTATACACGTTCGTGGTGTGTTTATAAGGTTAGTAAATCAACCCCATAGTTTCCCAACTCCCTAGCTGCAAATACTTTCCTGTCCTCACTCCTCCCTTGCTCTGTCCAGCTGTCAAGAGTAGAATGTAAGCTCTAAGCTGCACCTCTGAGGCTTACACAGGTAGAAGGACTCTCTACCTTCCCTTATGTGACAGCGCTGAGCCAATCACCAAGCACCAGGGCTGACACATGGGAGGAAGGGGAGTGAATTACAGCTTCTCCAAATGTGGATGTAGATGTTCCAGGAAACCTTCTTCATTCCTTTTGGTCAAATGGAGTAGTGGAGAAGTGAAGAGTTCTTCTGGAGAGGGGTGAAGTTGAGTGAACATGCAGGGCAAAGTCCAGGTCTACTTTATGGCCAGCTATATGGTAGATCTGCCACCTGTAAAGCACAGTGAGAGTCTACCTTCAAAAGATTAAATAGCCATACCACCAGATCAGTGTGAGCATTCTTCACCAGACAATGTTGCATTGTGGTACACTGGTGGTTTTGTATAAAGAAAATGGAAAAATAAAACACAGATATTTTCAGTATTTTTTAAAACTTTTGATGCTTGCAATTGCTTGCCATTGCCAAAGAGATACTCATTTGCATTGTCTTGTCACATTTGGTACTGGTTACAGGTTCCATCAATAGAGTAAATTGGAATTTGTAGCTAGTGGTTAAAGAATGGTGTAAACCTGTTAAAAAAGGAGCAGACTCGATGGACCAATTGGTATATTTCCTCCATCACTCTTCTATGTTTTGATCCCTCTTCTAAAGAAAATTCCCATATCTCGTTCTTACAATTGCTTGTTATAGCTGGGTGTTTTTAAAAGGCTTCTGGGCATTCTATCTGTAATATAGGAGCGTGCACTCTTGATACTGGCCTTGGTTAGGATTGTCCTTAGAAGGTGACTGCGCCCACCTTTGTTGTCTGCCTGTGGCCCCCTGGAGTTGTTGTTGCTGTGTGAACGTGGATGCATCTCCTAGCCTATCCTATGTGTTGGTCTATACATGTGTTGGATATGCATGACCTTCTGAGGAAGCCACTTTGTAGCAAAACGCGTCGAGGAAAGGAGCTTCAGGTTACAAAACCATGTTTGAAGAGCTGTGTCATTCTTCATGATGTAAATTCTACAATAAGGGACAATAAGGGACTGCTATGTGATGTGACTATAATACACCATTGTATGGTCTCTATTTACCCATTATGGTTTTAATCTTGTATGGTCTATTTTAAATATATGTAAATAAACTTTTTTCGTGGGTATATTGTATGTTTCAGGTATCTGGTTGTACCTAAAAAGCCCCCATTTTGTCTTGGGTTTTATTTATGCTCTTGGGGTGTGGTACCAGAGCCGATCCCCTGAGTTGATATATTTTATGTATCTATCAGCATATATGTTGAGCTCACATGACTGTGCTGTCATGTATCTTGAAAAGCACTAAATGAGCCCCAAAACTAAGTCCATTATGCACCTTTCAGTTATTTCCTTTTGTCAATCCCAGTTTGGCCCCTCATTGCACCATGCCTCACTATTTGACAGTAAGGTCACCCATCATAAACATCTATCATCAGTCAGTGGTGGGACTGGGTAAGTCTGAGCCTTTCCAAAACTGGGCACCTTGGGTGCTGGGCTACACTGCAAAAGGCATGTAACAGTACAACCCTAACTGTGCTTTTAAAGCGACCACATGTTCTTTTTATAAGATTAGAGAGTCAGGGTGCTGGGTAGATGGTTGTAATGTGAATTTAAAGCCCAAACTATTTTAAAGTTTTGGCTGGGGTGGTGAAGTGTTAAAAGCATTGATCATTTTTTTTATTGCTGTTCATGTCCCTGCTGGGAGGATTCATCCAAATTATTGGTCCTGGTGACCATTTTCTCTGATACAGAAGAGTTGTCACTGGAACAAGAGGTGAGGGGAAATGATTAAATAGGAACACCTGTTCTTCCGACAAATGTCTAAAAGGGGATCTCCCTTTGCTTTGTAGAGATTTTCTCTTATTTCCTGTTGTGAGGCACAAGAAATTAAAGAAAAAACACCCAATAGGGGATTTGACTCTTCCCTACTCTATCCAAAACTATATAAAAAAAAAGTTGGGGTTTTACTTATCCCATAATAGTTGTTAACCACCTTACAGTGATTCCTTGATAAAAAAAAGTCTTGATGCAAACAGCTGTTGGGACCTGCAACACATTTTATTGTACCTCAGGATTTGGACAAAATGGCCGGAGAGTTTTTAAGGACCGGTCCTTACTATAGAAGTAAGTTAAGACCACAGGAACTTGCTGACAGCAAATTGGGGATTAGGACCACACAGGTCAGTAGTTTTAACATGTCCCACCTCTGGCTGATCCTCACAATCATCCATATTCCCTCTAATTGTTTGGTCTTCTTGAACCACTTCATGCCCAATTACTGCCAGATCTGTCACATGTGTTGAATTTATTGGGCTGGGCATGGTCACCCTAACCCAGGTGATGCTATATCAAGAATCCAACTAGAATTAAGCAGGGTTGGTTTACAGCAAGAATCTCTTTCCTCTGAGCACTGCCAGTAAACGGTGGAAGTGAATGTTAAGTTTCTGGGTCGATGAAAACTCATTGAAAACTTTAGGCTGTGAAAAGCATTGCATCTCCAAACAATTTAGCTTTTATTGGTTCTACAAATGTTCTGACTCCCTGCCAAATAAACCTACAAGGCTCAGCAAATGTGTGGAATAGGCAGACAGTTACTTCATGGAAAACCTGCTAGATGTTTCAAGAGCGCCCACCAGAATTGGTTTGCAAACCTCATAGACCTTTTTTTTTTTTTTCTTTCTGCCTGAAACAAATAGCATTTGGAGATTAAAGATATTTTTTTTTCTGCTCATTGTTCTTCCAGCTTGAGAAATCCCTTTGTAAATTTGCCAGGGAAACCTAAGAGAGCTTCCAGTTTCCTTCCAACTGTGGCTGCTCCTCTTGGCTCTGAGAAGACACAGAGGACCCCCTGGCAATAGTACACGAATAGTAATCATGGAGAAAGAATTTTGAAAAGTATGTGGAACTTTCCAAAAAAGCATCTCCCCCCCTCTTTTTTTTCCACCTACCCTCCCTCCTTCCTCACCACTTCCATCTTTCCCCCCCATACAGAAGCATTGCATCTTATTACCCAGTGGCAGAAGTCCACCTTCCCCTTCTGTTTCGTAAGAGCTTGCGAGGTTTGGGAACAGCCCTCTCTTAAGGAGCAGATTGAGGAGAGGAGCTTCCCACTTCAAGGAAGACAGTCCTTAAGGACGGAGCATCTTTGCGAGCCACCAGGAGGAGACCCTGAGCATCGCAGCACCGTCTTATCCCAGCCGCAGCTGGACCGCAGGGAGGGACCAGTACAGCCAAGACCTGAGTCCAGGGAGCGCCGCATCACGCAGGTTCTGCTCATTTTCTATCCTATTCACAATGATCATTTGTTACTATTAAAGAGATTGCAGATTGCATGCATGCAGATCACAGATCTCACCAATTCCCGACAATAGCCTGTCACTTCTCTGTTCATTGCTTATAATAGATCATCTGCCTCCAGTGTTCTGCAGCTCCCAGATCAATAGATCAATCGCCCATGAGAAATGCTTTGTCTGCCCTCTCTTAGTTACTTTTTCTGATTTGTGGCACTGTGATCAAGCAGTCCCTGGCTGGTAAGATCTGCAAATTAAATCCTCATGCGTGTCGTCAGCTCTGTTCAAGAATGCTTTAACTCTTTTTTGGCTGTTCTGCATAGCTGGTCGTGTAGGGGTTAAATGTTCCCGCAGCTCCTAATCCAGGCAGCATACCTAAAGTAAGATTCATACTTATAAAGAATGGCTGCAAAAAAGTTAAAGGGAACAAAACAAAAATGATGGCAGTTACCCTTAGCAACCCATTTAGATGCCATTGCCTATCCGGGTGAAAAGTGATGGGTTGCTAGGTCATTGTTTGCTCCAGTTTGTAGCCTCAGGATCCTAAATGGTGACTGCACGGAAAATGGGCACAATGGAACACGTAGTAGTGAAGGTATTACAAAAACCTGGCACTGATAGACCGATTTGCACTGATCTAGAGAACAATGGGTGTAGCTTTTGGTGTGCTTGTAATTTTGACTTATTTTATAAAAGATGAACATATGTGATACAGAACTTGATAGAGATGGGTGGATTGTAGTGTACATAGGTAAATGTAAGTAGGCTGTATAGTTCCAATATGTGTATGATAAATGGCTGTGTGTGTTAGATCTGCTTTTCATTCTGGGTCTGCTGAGTTAACTGATGAGCTCATCTTTGCATTGACTGGGTTAGTATAAGCTTCCTCCTCTTATTACCTAGCTAGACTGCTCCCTCCACTGGCAGCTGAGGTGTTAAAGCGCAGAAATCATATGGAAGATAACTTTGGAAAGCTCCCATGATTTATTATAGGATCAGCAAATGTCGGGATGTAATAAAGAGCTGACCGTCTGGAATTCCTTGTGCATAGACTCATAGTCATTACAGTGCAGCCAGGGCTTCTGCTGCATCTGATTGGAAATTAATGTGTAATACGTTTGCTGAAAGCTGCAATGTGTTTTTTATAAAGGGTTTTCTTTTTTTTTTCTTTTTTTTTGCTTAAATTTCCATGCCAGCTGTTGTGAACCCATAACGTAATTCTGAGACCTGTAGCTGTATAGATTTTCACAAGTTACATAGGTGTGAAATAATACTATAGTATGGTAATCTGTGAAGGCTAGCTAGACTTTATACTAGGCACTAATCTAATAATAGCCTGATACAATGCTTACAGTAGCAGTAGAGATTACTCATAGATTTTTTTTTAAAAATCTGGATTTGTATTAATGTTTCAGAGTCAGATGTATAATCAAACTATTCTTTTATAAAACTAGAGAAAAGTTTTTTTTCAAGTTCATCAATGGTAAATCCCTAAATGACGGTCATACTTCTTTCCAGCCACTAGGTGGCGCAGCGAGTTAGACGTTCATATGCCTTGTGTTATAGGATACCTGTTCTTGCTCATTTCCAAGCTGTATAAAGGAACATTATGCAGTTGAATATAAAGCAGAAAATGTGAATAAGTCATCCCTGCCAGGACTAACACTGGTGGGGTAAATCCAGTCTTTGTGTGTAGCCAACTTTTAACCTCACTGACCTGATCAATGTGTGGGTTTAATTAAAAGTGTTAGATGTCAAGTAGCATTCAGATTCAAACATGCAGTTGATGTTTCCTTAGTGTACTTTTTCCAGTGTTGATTCCTTTGTGCTCTTGTTCTAACTGGGTGCTTTTTTCTCTCTCTTTAAACCAGTGCAGTAAAAAGAACGTTTTATTACAGTACTTCAGTGTGCGTTCTGTTTTCAGAGTTGTAAGGAATAGGAATGTTGTATTAGGAAAATGGAATATGCACTTTGGTTTAATTCCTGGAAATGTTGGCAGAGGTTTACTTTAAACTGAATAGCCAGCCCAGGATATATTAACAGCAGCTCGCACATAGGGTATGCCAAAACAGTGTAAATGTATTGTAAAGTAACCTCTGGGACTTGTGTCTGGACTGTGCTGTTAATGGGTTTTGCACTCATTACCTAACATACCCTTATTGTGTCTGGCTGAATGATTAAGAAAGGAAACCTAAACTGTGACCCTTAATCCTGCTAGCTCTGCTTTTGTATTTCTTCTAAGAAAACATCTGTGACAGCAATCATGGTGTTTTATAATCTCTGCACGGCTCCCTTGTGAGCATTACATCATGGTTGAAGTTTTCTTAGGGTCCAACGGGTCCTTCACTGCTACACCAGTGGTGGTGGGCTTATTTTGCTAAGAGAAAAGGAATTCAGCAACAACTCAGACAGAATTTCCAATGTTTCTATAAGCCACCTTGTTGTTACTGAACTAAGTGACCAATGTGTGCATTGGTTGCTCCACAAATGCTTTTTGGAGCTACCAGGAGCTACCATTTTGAGCAAATCCATTTAAAGATCAACCTCCAGTTAGTAGCATGCAAAGCAAGTTCTTACACTGAGAAGGTAAATCGATTGCCATTTGTTCTCTAAACTGAACACTCCTTAAACGCTCAGTTGCACAGCTGAAGGTAGTCAGTCTTCTTGGCGCCCACTTGTTTTATTGGGAGTGGTGGATACAATCTAAAAAAGTAGTCTTGAGAATGAACCCTTCAGATATGTTAATGCTCTGTAAAAATTAGTATATATGGATGAAATTATATACCGGTCATAATAATGATGTCTTGAGCAAGGTCTGCTATAAAAAAATTACAGCAAAAATGAGAACTGGCAGTGGAGACACAATTGAGGAAATAGGAAAAAAAAATCTGTGGTTTATACTGTTGACCAATTTTAGTAGCCATTATTGACAAAGTTGTTCTTTCAGCTGATGAGGTAAGGGCAAAAATATGAACTTCCCAATGAATCCATGATCGCCTGACCAATAACCCCTGATATGAATAATGTTCACCATAGTGGATTGCCAGCTGCTTACTGTTTTCCTATTCATAACTTTTTTGTTACATATACTAGTTAAGATTGTATAGCCCATTCACACCTATGCATTTTAGCAGACATGACACTTCTTTGTCCAACGATAACGAATGTGGAAAGGTTTCCTATTGTTTCTAACGGTGTTCGGTCACATAGTTTTAGTGCATTGACATTCATTGGCCAAAGAAGTGTCATGTCTGCTTTTTCATCTGTTGATGCGTGTTATAAGGGCTTTGGATAGGAATGGCAATGCATGTCAACGCATCAGGAAGCATGTGAAAAATTCTCTCTTAAAGGCACTGCAACACAAGTACATACGTGTGAATTCAGGATCAGGGTTTAAAGAAGAACTCCCGGCAACATTTTTACAAACTCTTGCAGTGGAGCTACCCCTGCACTGCAGGGATTACGTGCTCATTTCGGTATAGGGAGGAAAAAAAAAGTTATACTCACCTGGTCCTCTAAGTCGGCTTGTTCTTAGACCAATCTTTCCAGCCTCTCTCCCCCATTGCTGAAGTGGTCTAAAGTCCCTGAGTCATCATGTTCTATACATAGTGTATAGGAGGTGAGGATGCCAAGGTTCATACCAGGAGACAGGAGGAGACAGGCAGGAGGGAGTGCTGTGACAGCCTTCTGGCACCGAGGTTCAGGTGAGTATAAACTTGTTATAGCCTTGTTATTTTCCTCCCTAAACAAAAGCAAGCAGTTGACAAGGGTTAAACATTTTTTTGCCCGGAGTTCTTCTTTAAGTGTAATAATGAGCACCCTGCAAATACACTATAAAGTGTCTGAGTGGTGGAACCTCCACTTCTCTTGATTACTACTGAGGAGTAGAAGTGGATGACCCCTTTAAACAGTCAAGTTGAGTGTCCTTCTATGTTATGTGTACATATGTGACTGCTGTTAGTAGCATTCATTTACAGGCATTGTTGATCAGGAATTGATGGGAATAAAGTATTGTTCCATCTATGAAATATACTGGTTCTGGGAATGTGAAAAAATCCTGACAATAGTACAATAAGAAAAGAATAGCCTTCATGACTTCATAATAATGGTTTCCTAACATCACACCCACTTTGTCTGGAGCACTGGAAGGCATTTTTAAAGTAATGCGCGGTGTCACCATCCCTAATGTGGTTAACATTTCACTACAGTCGAATAACCACACTCCCATTCCTTGCTGTTGCTGATCACCTGGGTATGATTAGCTAGCCAGCCCTGTCTGCAGTTGTAAAGGCAAGTTGCCACAGGCTCTGGATCCCTGGAGGCTTGTGGTAGTCTGGGAGTGACTTTGAAAGAAGCATGTTTCACATCAACACATAACACTACAAATACTTAGAAATACCTATATCCTACAGCTATCAGATGTGTGGATGTACGTGTTTTTATGTTTGAGACCTCTTATTTAAACTTTCTTCCTTCTATGGTTGCAGATCCATTCATGTTGTTGTGACCCGGAAAAAGCAAAGAAATGAAAATACGGCTTTCCTGTGCGGTGACAGCACTGTGTGCTGTCCTGCTCTTATCTTCTATAGAGGCAGAAGGTAATAGATCAGCTTGTTATGTTGTTGCTGTTGCCCATGATTAATGATGTGGGCAGACAACTCTCCCTCCACACTACACCTATTCTTCCATTCATATTTTCCTTTCCCTTCTGAGTGTCTCTTCTCTTTGTCTTCTTTTGTCTTGTGTGAATAATATATTTTTCCCCCCCCCAAACCAAAGCGGAGAAGGTGTTCACTGTATATTAGTTACACAGGGCCTTGGCAAGTGATCTTCAAGATGTAAGGCCCCAGGAAGAAGAAACTTGTGTAAGCATGAAATTACCAAACCAAAAGCCCTCCATACCTGGCACACCTCTCCTGCTTGGCACTTGTGCAGTATGGAACATTCACATATTAATAAATGTTTTATACTGTGTATGTACATGTTGGCCATATTTTTTTTTTGGTTTATATTATGGAATGTAATATGTGTTCCTTAAAGGGCACCTGTATGTGAGTAGCAAACAAATGCTGCACAGGAGGACTGTAGGAAAGGTAGGTAGATAATGCACTTGTGTTTTCCAGTTATAATAGTTGATGTATTTTAAACTGTAGTTCTTAAGGGTTACTCTACCCTGTGTATTTAAAAACTTTTTGCCTTTTACCATTATAACAAGCAAGGTTAGGTTGTGAAAGAGTTAGGTTTGACAGTTTCAAGGGTCACTTATCGTATCAGAACAACAATGTAAGTGATAACAAACTTTTCCACAACCTAATTTCTATACAACAGCCATATTCAATGGAGGTAAAGGACAAGTGGTAGAGTTGGGGTTTAACTAGTACAAATGGGTGTGGCTGAGTTGGTACACAAGCTAGGACTTAAAGCAAATCTATCTTAACTGAAATATTTCCCAAACCTTTTCCTAACCAGCTACCCATCTGTAATCCAATTTCTATCACCAGCCCTGCAAAGTTGCTGGCAATCACCTCAATACCAAGTATGGTTTAAAACTGTACAGTGAATGGTATGCCCACTGCCCCATGTGGCAGCACTACAGTCTGTTGATTGACTGCTCAGGCTGCATTGTGGGGAGGCATGGTGGTGGTGGGGAGCGGGGTTGGGAAGTTTTTTTTTCCAACACTGCCCTTCTAAAATACCATAAAACCACTATAACCGAAAAAAACACCATCACTGCGTCACTTTCCTACTCACCTCCTTTTGCAGCATATCATTTTCTCCAAGACTGCAAGGGCAGTATACTGCTATTTTATTTGTAGATGTCACAGTAGAACCTGAATTGTTATTGGTTACTATAAAATCAAATAATATGGGCAATGGTTAGCATGCTGTCTGCTTGTGATCAACATTCTTCATGTTAATGGGAGGCTGAGCACCATGAGAAATGTAGCTTACTGGCAGGGAGCATGGAGAAGCTTGTCCCTGAAAATATTGTTGACGAATTATTAACAGAGACTCAATGAATATAATGTGCAGAATGTATTTGGCAGACAGCATCACATAGCACTGTTCAAAATCGAAAAAGCTTTATTTTATTTATAATATACTAAAATGTATACATTTGTTACACCCATACATTTTTTTTATTAAATCATGTCTTGTCATTCTTTTGCATCTCAATGTTTTTATGTATGCAGCTATGTAGTTATGGAAACAATATGTGAATTATGCACACCAATATGTAGATATAGCACATTTGTTCAGTTGGACATCCAGCTTAGGGAATCAGTAGATTTCAGTGTGATGTTTGAACACATTGGGAGGAATTTATCATAGTTATTTGCGAGTGTTTAAACTTGCACGGAATATATTTGATGCACTTTGCACCAGATTCATGTTGCTAGTGTAATGTTGTCCATAAATGAGGTTTAATAGACTCCAGGAAAGAAGACTCATGACTCCAGGCAAAAAGCTTAACTGTCGGTTTTTGAAGAAGTGGTCATGGGGACTTCCCCCCATTGTACTTTGATTCTAAGATTTTTTTTTTAGGATATCTTCTTATCAGTTTTTGATGTGATAATCCTTTGCAGCATAGTAAGGGTAAAGGTTTTGTATGAGTTTAAGGGGCATGGTTACATTTTAAAAATCATGAGAGTTGCACATGTGGGGCAATGCAACAGGCTCACTTTAATGGCAGCCCAGCAAACCGCACATAATTATCTTTCCTTCAGCACATTGCACCCCATGTGACAATGCTGCTTAACTAAGGGGCCAGCATTGTCACTTGGGAGGGGAATACGTCACATACTTCCTCATTCCTGGAAGCACTGTTTTTTTTTGTTGCATCCAAAGGCAGGTTAGGAAGTGGAGTGGCAGGAAGATTAGTGTATGCTGCTGGAGGGGCTGCCATTTTGGTGAACCTGTTGCTTTGTCCTCCATGGGCAAAGCCAGGTTCACTTTTAGCATAAGTTAATATGACTGCAGATATTCAGTCTTTACATTTAAGTTTTGGATAACATAACCAAATAACCTATACAAATAATAATTGAAGTACAAGTCAAGAAATATTATTCTTCTAGTTTTTTTCTTGCTCTTTGTATCCTTGTCGATGGGATAGACAGTGAGGTAAATCCATAACAGTAGTAGAAATATTTTCCAATGGGCACACCGGTCAAAGGTGGGATTTCCCTTCACATAGGAGATATGTCCCCCTGCTTCCTGACATTTCTTTTTACCTTCACTTCCTGGGATTTTTTGTAGTTTCCCTTCACTTCCTGGGATTTCCTTCACTTTGGGGAAATTGCCTCTCACTTTCTATTGTCACTATTGCCAGTTAAGGACCATCTCCCTGGTAGGAACTCACCCCCTCTCTATCCAAAGCTATAGAAAAGTTTTGCCTGCAGTTGGGCTTTAAAGCAGAACTCTGAGCAAATCAAATCTTGCTGTGCAAATAGTGCTGTGCTGACAAGGGTTAAAAGAGAATTATGGGGTAATTTTTTTATCCCATAGTTCTCTTTAGGGTCACGGGAGGAAATATATTAACTTCCTCTCGTGACCCAAAGCTCAGTATATAGCGTGCTATGCCTCGCTATATACTGAGAGCGACGCAGCCGGGACTGATCACGACAACACTGTATGGATCCACCAAGCTGGCTGATTGACAGCGGGCTCGACCTATCTAGAGGTAGAGCCACCTGTGCCCGCCCCTCCCCGTCCGTTCCTCCAGTCAGCGCTGGAGGATCAGAGAGGGGAGGGGGGGATCCCTTTTAGGACTACTCTCTGTAGGGAGATGATCTGGATGTGAGTGAGCGACGATATGTGTTCGCTCACTTCCCGATCAAGAGAACCGATGTGTGACAGTTTCATTGTCACACGTCAGCTTTAACTATGAGGATGAGTGTAAATCACTCACCTCATAGTTCTCCTTTAAGTGCTCTTTTTGTCTAGGGAACTAAAATAGCCAAGTTATACACTGTATTGGACATGATGACTTACAGGACCTTAGACCCTGGGAGTGGAGGTTGAGTGAGGCTGAAGGGAGCAGTCTAAGAGCAAGCTAGGGTCGTGGTTCGGATGAGTATAACTTTTATTTGAGCTCCCTAGACAAAAAGAGCACTTGACAATTGCAGTGCAGGGGTAGCCCCAGGGTTAAGCTTTGATTTACCCAGAGTTCTGCTTTAAGAAAAACACTGTTATGGTTGTCTGCCAATCTCACCAGGTGCTATGGACAAAAATAATAAACCTTCCATTGGCATTTTGATGAATGAGGTTGACTTTCTGTGGCAAAAATGTTAACAGACCGATCTTAGACATGTTAGAGACTAGATAAGGGAAAAGAGATCTTGTACTTGGTATTTTCCACTGATGTCATAGGAAAGACCATTTAGGGCAGTCTAGCATTGCAAAATTACATTCCCATAGCTACTCTATGTTTGCATATTTACTAATGACAGCAGTCTTCACATTCAGCCTCCTGTGCCATTGTTTCCCACTCCATTTGCTCTAATTACTATAGCTTTGTCTGCTGCAAATTAATACAAAATAATTATGATTTATTAATTATAATTAAATAATTAGCTTATACGAATAACTGCATGTCCTTGCCTCACACCAGTACTAAATTTTCTCAGATGCTTTCTTTGATAAGCTAGTTATGTTTTGATAATCTCTGAAACTGAGGCCAAATACATTTCTCACTTAAAGGGTTAAAGCCCGGTCGAGTATTTGTCTCTGCGTTGCAAAAATCTTATCTTTATTTGAAGATGAAGTTAGGGGAATAAAATCACAACCATGTTTGGCAGTCATTTTTATAATTGAGAAGCTGCTGAGCTGTGCTGTTTAGTGTATATGGTATGCAGATGATAATACATTAGCACAACATGAGACGTGTGTTTATACGGAGGATATTCCTGGAATGTACTGTTAGACTCCTGTAACAAAGTGAAGCCTTGAGTTAGTGCTGTGCTGACAAGATTTACATTAATAAACTGCACAATGAAATTTAAATGTCATATTCTGTATATCAAAGATGTTTTTTTTTATCCCCTCTTAATATGCCCTAAAGGGATCTTTAATCACAGGGCATGCCATTTTAATTTGCAAGGTGTGTAATGTTCTCACTATAAAAATAAATGATGATGCATTAATTAGAGTCTATTACTATTGCTACTTGTAAGTTTTTTTCTTCAAAACTATAAATATAAGACATACATTTTTAACTAATGATCACATTGGAAGGACCGTTCCCTCTGGCCTATTGTTTTTGCCCATGTGTACTTTTGAAATGGTTTTAGACTCCAGTTTTCTAGAATAATATAATATTTCTCTCTATGAAACTAGATTTTGTTTTGCTTCTAAATGCTTATACTCAATTGTTTATTATCTACAGTATATACCAGCTGATTATTGCACCCTTGACTGCATCTCCCAAAAATACACATCAGCAAATTAAAGCCAAACTCCAACTTTGGATCGTGTGGGGAAAGGTTAGAACCTCTGCCACATGCTCACAGAAAAAAAACTCCAGACACCTCAAGCTTCTCTGAAAAGTTTATTATAGCACACAGGTACACATCATCCAGCCTTGGATCCTGTTCACTCAATGTTTCACCCAATGATGGGCTTAGTCATAGACTATGACTGGCTGTGACTAAGCACATTATTGGCTGAAACATGTCGGAGTGAAGAGGTTCCATGGAGGGACAATGTGTAGCTGTGTGCTTCAATAAACATTGTGCAACCAGACTTTTTTTCTGTGATTAACTGCTGATGTTGGAGCAAGACCGGCTCGGCCAGTGTGCACGCGCCATTCTCTCTAGTGCTGCAGTGAACGAGCAGTGATATTGGGCTATGAAAATTAGTCTCTGTCACATGTTGCTCTTGTCTCTGTTGAAGTGATTCCCCTCACTGCCTGCTCTTTCTGACACCTGTCAGTTGGACAGGAAGTGAAGACCCAACAGGCACACAGGAAGCAATAATAGTTTACAAAGCTTATAAAGTTTTCTTACCCAAAAAACTTAAAAAACTGTGAGAGTAATATAGAGACTGCCATTGCCGGCAAAGCTACTTGTTTGGCTTTTTATGGCTTCAGCACTTCTAAAACCCACCCATACATTAATTGAAGGCAAAGCATCAGCATGACAGCTAGACTTACTTTTTCGGATGGGGCAATCAGCAATGGCAACCAACATGTGTCCTTGTCGCCCCCCTTTCCAGCCAGAGCATCCAAAGTTGCTAAGAGCCCTTAGCAACTTGTGACACTTTGGCCAGCCTCCCATTCAGCTCACTAACGTCACAGGTTGCTAGGAGCTAATCTGGCCGCTCCTGGCAACCAGTGATGTCAGTGAGCTGGGCAGGACCCTGAACAAAGGTACAGTGCACCCCTCCTGGTAACATGCACTGCCAGCATCACCCCGCCCCCCCCCCCCCCCCCCCCCCCCCAGCAAATTCTACGGGTCCCCCCCCCGCC